CCAGCTCTGTGGCTGTCGGCCGCCATCTTTGTTGGCAGTTAATTTGCATATCTCGCTGATTAGCCAATGGGAGGCGTAGCGAAGGTATGGTCAAGTACCATGTTTGTCTATTATTAGGTAAGATAAATAAAATAAAGTGTGTTAAAAAAACACAACAACAAAAAAACAAAGCTTAATCTGCTTCCTCCAGGAGCTTCAGGTAACATATCCCCAGCCAGAATAATCTAAGTGTGATGTGTCCTTTTCCGAAAGCACGCTCCTCATGGGTGACACTAATTTTGATGACCCACTCAAGATTTTGTTGATATTCACTCATACTACTTTGCCCCCTCACAACTTGTCAAAAACCTCTGGGAAGGCTCTTTGAGACAATGAAAAGATTCTGCTCAAAATTTTCCCCTAGATGTAGCATCCACTGATGACCTTTGCCCTAACCACTCTTTATGAAAATCGTTGCAAAGTGGTACTTCAATGCTGATACCTTCAATCCAGTCTCGTCCCACAGGTCTGCCTTGTCTCCCCCCATTTACACATGTGCTCAATCCTACCACACTCACAAAATAAATTCAGAATGGCTATACCCACATTACTACAAACGTCACCAAAAGTTTAAAATTTACTTGCAGTTCTTTTTTCCCCCTTAGCCTGAAGGTAGTCAAAGTACTGTTCAAAATTTAATAAAGTGCGCAACTACTATAGTCAAAAGGTTGCTTCTTTTCCCTACTTTTTGGGATATATTTTTTTTTCTCATTTGAAATGTAGTTAAATTCATTTTCTTTTGTTTACAGTCACTATTGGTTTTGCCCCATTTTGTTTACTTTTCAATTTTTGGAAACAGGCTTTGTCAAAACTATGCAAGAAGATAACTCAGAGACATCTGTCCCCCTCCATTGTCCCTTCTTCTCAGCACTCCTCCCACTTCTTGAGGTAACCAGTTCTATTGGTTTCTGATTTTTCTTTCTGTTTTTTTTTAAATAAGCAGATACACGTCTTCTTATTTCCTCCCACTTCTTGAGGTAACCAGTTCTATTGGTTTCTCATTTTTCTTTCTGTGTGTTTTTTTTAAAATAAGCAGATACACATCTTCTTATTCCCTCTTCTTTCTTACATAAAAGATAGCACCTTATTTATATTCTTGCATTTTGCTCATTCTGCTTAGCAATATATCCTAGAAGTCATTCCATATCAACCAATTGAAACAGTCCTCATTCTTGTTTTTAGCATTAAGACTCCATTGTGTGGAAGTACCACAGTTTATCCATCAATCTCTTATGATTAGGTATTTAGGTAACTTACAGTATTTTGCAATTATGAGCAATTCTGCAATGAACAGAATGTATGTGTTTTTATGTTTCTGAGGTTCATCTTCAGGGTTAATTTCTATAATTGGGATTGCTGGGTCACAGTGGGATTGCCCATTCTGTCTTCCCATAGCAACGTATGAATGTCCCTTCCCCTCAACCTCACCAACACAGTGTATATACACTAATGCTTTTAGTTTTTGCCTCTCTAATAGGTGAGAATTGGTATATTGCTACATTTCAATGTGCATTTTTCTTATTATGAGTGAAGTTGTACATCTTCCATATGTTTAAAAGCCATATTTATTATTTTTTATTAATTTCATTATGTGCATGTCTTTTGCTCATGTTTCCTATTGGAATTTTGGGATTTTCCCTTCCATTTTTAAAAGTTCTTTATATATTAGGCTTATTAGTTCTGTGTGTGTCCTATATGCTGCAACTATTTCCTTCTATTTTTATCATTTGCCTTTTGACTTTGCTTATAATAGTTTTCAACTTACTAAAAGTTGGTTTTTGCTTTGTTTTTATTTTAAGTAGTCAAACTTACTTATCTTTCTTTTTATTGCATCTGGATTTTGGAGTCATTGCTAGAAAGCCTTTCTCCAAACTCAGGTCACAGAGGAAGCGACCCAAGTTTTGTTCTACTGATTGTATGATTTCATTTTTTACACTTTAGGTCTCTGATCCTTGGAATTCTTTTTTTGGTATGATGTTAAGAATAGAACTACTTTTTTTTTCTAAATGGCTATCTAGTTTTCTCAAAGACATTCAGTGCAAAGCCTACCCCAGCCCCACTGATCTGCAATGCCACATTTATCACACACTACATCTCTATATGTAGGTGGGGCTATTTTTGGACCTTCTATTCCACTGATCTATCTGTCTATCCAGGTGCTGGCACTGTAATTTTCTAATTGTAGAGACTTTGTTTTATATTTTTTAAATTGATGAACAAATAATGTGACCGATCAAACTGGCTGTTTAGGGTTTATACACAAAACCACTGGGTGACTTGATGGCTTCGATCCCGGCTAGCCATACTCCTCTTCATGCTCTTTTCCTGCCTTCCTCAGCCGCATGGAAGAAGAGGGGATGAAACCATCACTGTTGTTGCTATTGTTATTGTTACTACGGTGCCAACATAAATGGGCGGCTTAGTTACATCATCCAGGATTCTAAATCAAGCTGGTGTCGGACCCTGACAGTGATACAGGCCCAAGGTCTCCTTGTCAACCAGAGAGGGTTTTCAGCTTAACACCCTCCTCTGCTCAGGGTGATTCTCCTGGGGAAGGGACACCCCTTCTGGACCAGTTCATATTTCCATGCTCCCACTGTGACTTAGAGGCCAAGGTGGGGCAGGCTGCTGCAGTGCCCCCCAAGCTGGGTTCCCACGTGCCGTCCCCAGCCTGCATCTGCCTGTCGCTGCCAGAAACGCCACAGGAATGAGACTCACGGAGAGAAGAGCCGGCCCACAGCAGCCATTGAGACCACTCTGGAGAACAGCTATGTCTGGGTTACAGTGATTAATGTGATGTTAATCCCAACAAAAACGATGGGAGAGAAGCCCTGTGCGAACATTTACAATCAATTAATGAAAAACGCCACTCCCATCAGACCCATTATCACTATGAAAAATCACCCTGAAAATACACAAGCAACCAGGCCACGGAGCCATTGTTTGGTGATTGGCAAAGTTCCTCCTTTTAAACTAATTCAGCATCAGAATCCTGTGCTTAGAATTCAGCGTTAGAATGAGCCTTGGCTAGAGTTCCAAAAGCAAGCCCTGGCCTATATCACCGCCACCGAAGCAGATTCTCACTCATCTAAGCGAAGAAAACACAGCTGTGGCCTCTGCCGTGGCTCTGATTCACTGTGAGAGCCAAACCCAGCCACCTTCCCAAGTTCAGACCCAAAGATTGATCCCCAGGACTGGGCCTCTCAGACGGGGGACTGAATCTAACACGCCCCTCGTCACTGCTCCAATGACAGCATTTGTACACACGTGGGAGGAAACAAGTAGCTAGAGAAGACACACTCAAAAAGTGAGATTTCTGTGCTGACCAGACCCCTTCCAGAATGCTGGTTACATTTTCACCAACTTTGTTTGCAAACTGTACAACGAAGGAAAATGTCACTGAACCCCATTATAGAGGATGAGTGGCCCAATTGCTGTCTTCTGAAATGAACACAGGGATGAACCCTCAGGCTCCCTGGGGCCCGTGACTCACGGTGCTGTCGATGTAAGCTTCAGTCCACACCACGTCGTGCTCCTGGTCGATCACCTTGGGCCGGCTCAGCACGTGGAGGTATTCCATGACATTTTCCTGCACATCAGCCAACGTGGAGATCTGGGTGAAGAATCCTGCCAAGGGAGAACCAGTTCAGGAACAGACAGGAAGACCGGCAACTGGGGAGCCCACACCTGCCACGCCTTCTTGGCCTCTAGCTAATTTCTGCCTCTTCTTTTCCTTGTTAAACCTTAGATCTCCCCTCTGCCATCACCCACTTCATGAGTCATATGTTCATGATAGAAAATAACAGCAAGCAAAGGAATACAATTAAGATCAACCATAAACTCACCCCCGAGAGGAAGCCCCTGTTGGCCCTTTAGAGCAGCAGTCACCAGCCAGTGGTCCATGGACCACTGGTGGCCCGTGAGGTCCAAAGGTTGGCGACCGCTGCTTTAGAGCCTGTCTCCCCAGACTGTTTTCTATGCATGCACATGCAGACCTTCCTGGCAGGAGCGCGGAAGGGTCCTTTTATATGCCATTTCGTAACCTTTTGTTTTTTACTTTGGTGGATTTGTTTCCAATGGGAAAACTATGCACCTCAAAATGGAAAGGCTATCCATTTTTATCACTATAACAATAATAGTTATAGTTAATTTTTGAGTGCTTACTGAAGGACACAAAATTTGCTAAACACTGGAAAGGCTTTGTCCCATTTATTCTTAACAACACGATGAGGTGGGGGTAACTGTGCCCACTGTAAAGAGGAGAAGACCGAGGCAGACCGTGGATATGTGTCTCCCCCACGTTCCCTCAGGTCTCCAGCGGCAAATACAGGAGGTGAGCCCAGGATTGGGAGTCTCTTTATCTGTGCCTTTTGCTTTTACAGAATTTTGCCCTTTATGAGTTTGAGGCTGACATGCCAGCTCATACCCCCGTGTGGTTGCCAGACCTGCCTATTGAATATGCTGGTGGACCTGGCTTCTAAGTAACATAAGTTCTAATTGTGCGATTGTCTCCGGATGGGGATGCCGTTTTGATCTCTAGTTCAGGGCATTGCTATGTTCCTCTTCAGTGTGGGCTCCTGTTGGCCTTGCTGTGGGTGGGTTGGGAGATGTTGGAAGGGAAGGGATGAACTGGGGCCCTTCATCCAAACCTTTATGGAGGGCTTTCTTGGTACCTAGCCCTGGAGAAGCAGGGATTAACAGAATGGGTGGGACCCCTGCCTCCTGGGCCTGGGGAGTCTGAGTAGAACAACCACAGAACAGCACAATCAGTGTTGCCCTAAAGCAGCGGTCACCAACCTTTCAGACCTCACGGACCACCGGTTGGTGACCGCTGCCCTAACGCACACAGCAGGGACAGCCAGGCACTCGGCAGCCCCCAGGAAGGGTCAGCACCACTAACCCTGAAGGATGAGGACCAGTAGCTGGAGGAAGAGGGGTTAAAGAGTGTACAACCAAGCAAGGAGTGTAAATAAAGGTGAAGGGCAGACTCAGCCCCCTCTGGGAACTGAAAATAGCTGGAGTGACTGGAGAAAGGAGCTGGGCGGGAGGGCACCGTGGGTGGTATAAGATCAGAGGAAGGCACAGGGCACCCGCACACAGGACCTTGGGAAGAGCTTGGGCTTCATCCCACAGGCAGGTAGTCATGGAGGATCTGAAGCAGGGACACTGGATGGACATGCCCCGTTTCCTCCCCATCCTTTAAATGAGGACCCTTATAATGAGGCTCATGCCAGCTCCTGGTGCCAACACATCAGAGAGGGTGTGAGTGCCTCTGGAGCCAGGTCTGTCTCAGCACTGGCTACAGTGTTTACAGAACCTCATAGTGCCTAACAGGGCTCAGGTAAGGGAATGCCAGCCCTTCTGTTGTCCAGAGAGGGCCCGACCCTGACAGGGCATTTTCAAACAAAGCCCAGCTGGTTTGAATTTGGTGTGCCAACCCCAAACCAGGTCGGGACCATGTGGCTTCTGGCTTCCTGATGACAGCTCTGCACAGTGTAATTAACATGCATTGTCACTCCTGTCCTCCCCCACCCTCCCTGCCAGGGCCAGAGCCTCGCCCATCCCAGGGGAAACAGGGCCCTGAAGGAGCAGGCTCTGAGCTCCTGTTTTAGGGTGCAGCCCAAGAGTGGGGCCCATGAGCACCTTGGCCTCCATCAGAGGTCAGGCACCAAAGTCAGGGGATCCACTGGGACACTCCCAGGCGGCCCCTCTTGCAGAATTGGTGGGAAAGACAAGTTTTAAAGAGGGTCGCTGGATGAAAGGGGGCATCCATAGTTACCCCTCCAGGCACAGTGGCTGCAATCAGTGTTTGAATAAGAAAGAAAATATTTCATCTTTACTCTAGTGGACAAACCCTGGTTCTGAGGGAAATGTCTTAGACAATCAAGGCAAAGAGGACACTTAAGAGAGATGTTGCCATGGTGATAAGAGGAGGGGAGAGCTCCACGATTCTGGACTCGAGAAGAATAATTCCTATTTGGGGCTCCTGTGCAAAATGTGCATAAAGACAGCAACTCTTAGGAGGAGTTCTTCTTGGTTGTCTGCATTTTCTTGATCCTCAAAGCCAACAGTAAAAATCCTTGATTTGGATTTTCCAAAGTTGGGCCAAGAGAAGAAGGGGAATGAATGTGAGGAGAAGGATGGGAGAGACAGGTCATTAGCATAGAGGGAGTGGAAAGGAAAAACCACCACACACTTGGACGGGGATGGAGCTGAGATCATCCTCACTTGGCATTGCTGGTCACAGTCTACATTCTGAGAAGCTACAAAAAGCTGGCTGCTCCCCAGAGCTCCAGACCCACAGCCAACGGTATACCTGACACTTCCACAGGATGACTAACAGGATTCTCAGACTGGACTCATCCCAAGCCAACTCCTGGTTCCCTCACCAAACGCATTCCTCCCCCAACTGCCTCTTCCCCATCTCAGCAAATGGCGCCACTCCCCATATTAGGCCAAAAATATAAGCGCTATCCTTGACAGTCACCCCTTGCTCACCCCAGCCCATGGCTAGTCCACGAACAAGATGTTCTGGCCCTATCTCTATAACATATAGGAAACCCACTTCCCCCTCTCCTCTGCCCCAGCCCACTCCTGACTCGAGTCTCTCCTCCAGGGTATGGCAACAGCCTCCCCACAGACCCCTCCTCGTTATCCTGCAGCCGGAGGGATCATCTGAAAGTATAAAGCAGATCCTCATCTCTCTGCTAAAGATCCTAAAACTGGTTCTATTTAGAGTTAGAATAAAATCAAAATTTCTTAGCCACACTGCCAAACTCTCCTTCAGCTGCCTGCCCCCCACCTGGATGGCCTCACTCCCTTTGTTTCCTCACCATTGCTCTCATTGGGCTCCCTGGCCTTCCTCCTCCGCTGACAGGCCAAGTGCATTCCTCTCTCAGGCTTTGGCTCCTGCTGTCCCCTCTGGCTGGCACAGCTTCTATCCAGTTTCTCCATGGCTGGGTCTTGTTTATCATGCAGGGTTCAGCTGTCTAAACTCACTTCCTCTCACTTCGCCCTGCCTTCACTTTCTTCAGAAGATTAATCTGGTGCTGAACTCTGACTTGCTTGTTTACTATGTTCTCTTTCACTGGAATATTAGCTCCATGAAATATTACAAAAAACGGGCACCCGTCTTGTCAGGAGCAGAATTCCCAGAGCCCACGTATGGGTTAGCAATGCAGGGACACCCACTGGGGTCTTACTGGCATCTACCTTGCCCCTGTGGGCCTGGGCAACTCATGGGCTCACTGTATCAGTAGGAAACAGAGCAGAGAACTCAGTGATTCGTCTCAGATCAATTCCAACCCAGGTTCATCTGATTCCAGAACCTTTACCCTTGACCACTGAGGACACTGCTTCTTCCTGTTTCAGAAAAGAACAGACACACGTGGCTGCTCAGAGGTCCTCCCCAGGAGGTTGCCCCTAATGGGCTGTCCGCATCTCTGTGGCCAGGACAAGTTGAGGATGGGGTGGGGAAATGCATGGTTCTCCTTGAGGTTCCTGGGAAATGCTCAATAATTAGCACCAAAGGTCTACTCAAAACCCAGGGCACAGTTCTCATTTATATTTCAAAATATAGACCAGGCATGCAGATGTATAGAAGGTAAGAGAAGCTGAGATTATACAAATAATATTAATAACGTATACTGCAAAGCTTCATGCAAATTTAATCATCTAACCCCAACCCATTAAAATCTCCAACCTTTCTGAAAGACCCTTTCTTGCTTTCAAATGTTTTCATCTAAGTTTTAGTTAACAAATGTACTTTTGATGGATAACAGGAAGTCGCTGAGGGCTGGACGCTTTGGCTGTAACCATAGACGCTTCCCTTGTTTTCCCTCTGCATTCTCCGAACTGGCTCCTTTCCCTCCTCTCCGCTCCCCCCTTTTTTTCTTTTAAATTCTAGCTCTTGAATGTTTATTCTCTTCTTTAATGAGCCTTTTTGGACGTCATATATCATGTAGGAAAACAGAATCAGCAATCATTCAGTAATTACCAAGGAGTAATTAATGCTGTAATTAGCCACCTATTACAAATGGTCTTCTCATTTTTCTACGTAACATCTATTTATGTACTTTATTCCCTCACAGAGCCTCCTGTGAACTCCAGGTTACAACTGCTCCCTGTGATCAACCACACGCAGCCTGGTGCTTTGTATTTCTGAGATTCTACCACCCTCACCTCTAGATTTCTTAGGAGTCCCTTGTCTAAAAGGTGCCTTTAGATGAGAAGCTCCATCATTCATTATTCTACTTTACAATGACATCAGAGCTGACGGTCCCAGTTGGCTCCTCATTGGAGACCCTGGCCATCTATCTCCCACGCCAAGTCCCTGTTCACCTTTGCTGTGAGGCACCACTCCCTTTACAAACACTCATCTCTGAATAAGACAAAGCTCAGATTTCAGTCTCCTCAGGACAGTGGAGTGGGCAGTGAAGTCGATGGTGTGACCTCGTTTGCCTTCCTTCTGGACAACAGTGTTCTCTTCTTCCTCCTCCCCATCAGCATCACATGCTGCTGACAAAGCACTTATTTCTGTAAAAATATATGCAATTTATAAACAACTTCCTACCTCCACCTCCCCTCGGACCTTCACAGACATCCAGCAAGAGGTCCGGTGGGCCTTGGAGCCAAAGGGCACATGTCCAGTGAGTTGGAAAGAACTGACCTGGAGGGAATGACCATGGGGCCAGGCCCCTACCCGCTGCCTCCGTGGTGAAGCCATCAGAATCAGCCAAACTCTCAAATTTAGAAACAACCCTTTTCCTTTGTGAATAATGTTACATTTTAAATTTCATGTTAGAAAAGGTCATTTAAAGGATCACGTGATGGATCTAGGAAGGCTGGCCCGTCTGTAGCTCTGTCGCAGCACCCACACCCCAAACTGCCTCATCTCCTCTCAGAGCCTTAATGTCCCGCTTTGTAAACGTCAGAAACTGAACCACATGCCCACACAAGCGGAGGCAGGGCCGTTTCTGGAACACAAAGGTTGGGTAGAAATCCCACTTGGTCTTTATTAGCTGACCAAGTCTTTCCTCCACCTCTACATTCCTTTTCCTAGAGTCTCAAACTCTGGAAGACATGCAGGAGTCCTCCATGAAACACGACTTTCTTCTCCCCAAAGAGAGGTAACCTCACGATCTGGTGAAGTGAGGCTCAGGCTTCAGACCCACTGGGCCAGCCTCTGGCTCTGCCACTTGCTAGCTGGTAACCTGGGGCAAGGAAACTAGATCTTGCCCAGCCAGTGAGGCTCAATGGTTGAGCATCTACCTATGAATTAGGAGGTCATGGTTTGAGTCCCTGTCAGAGCACGTGTGGAACGTGAAGGAGACAGCCAATCAATGATTCTCTCTCATCATTAATGTTTCTCTCTCTCTCTCTCTCTCTCTCTCTC